TTTTTTTTTTTTTTTGAGACAGTTTCGCTCGTTGCCCAGGCTGTAGTGCAATGGGACGATCTCGGCTCACCGCAACCTCCGCCTCCCAGGTTCAAGCGATTCTCCTGCCTCAGTCTACCGAGTAGCTGGGATTACAGGCATGCGCCACCACGCCCAGCTAATTTTTTATTTTTAGTAGAGACGGGTTTTTTCCATGTTCGTCAGGCTGATCTTGAACTTCCAAACTCAGGTGATCCGCCCGCCTCGGCCTCCCAAAGTGCTGGGATTACAGGCGTGAGCCACCGCGCCCGACGTAAAAATAATCATTTTTAAAAATCTCAATCATAAATGGCAAAACCAGGTCTTTTTGCTAATATGATCGAGGTGAAACATCAAGTTAGAAATCCCCTAATTAGCTTTCCGCGTCCTCTAACCTGGCACACTCTATCTCACCGTTGGGAAATACATGGGAGTAACAACCCTGCAAACGCCTGAAAATATGGTTATCTTTAGAATTTACGAAGATAAATGTGATTAGGCACATGTGGAAGAAGTTCAAGAGACTGTAAATGAGAGAGGCCAGGTTTCGCGACTATTAAACCAGGTGGCTTTTTCCTTCAGCATCCCCAGGACAAGTACGAATGAGACTTATAACACCCGGCACAAATGGGATCACGCTTGAAGTACCTATGGGGCAAAGGAGAAAGAGTAGCAGGAAGCTGCGGGTAAGGAGAGAGGATGCCTGTGTGCTCACATCTAAAGAGAGAAGTAAGCCACCTACTCACACTCGTACTTCCTATTGACTGGCGGATACTTGGCCTTGATCGCCTTCTGTTCCTCAGTCAAATTGTACACATCTAGATGTGTATAAGAGACAGGCCTAACAGTGAGGGCAGGCCCGAGTTTGCCGACTGCAGGATTAGACACTCTACTTCCGCCCTTCATCCGCCGGACTTCGGCCCGCAGTTACTACTTCCGCTCTAGACCCCGCCCCTGAGCACACACCCCTAAAGGACCACACTCCGTTCTCGGAGTTGGCCGCTAACCTGCTTTAGTCCCGACCCTGTTGCTTGGATCACATGTTTAAAGGGCCAAAACCCCATCTTCTGCGCTCCCTTCATTACTAGTTCCTTCTAAAGACTAAGGGAAAACGTTGAAGGGCACCTTGAATGAAACCCCTTTGGCTCTGAGTGGCGAGGTTCTTTTCCCCGCTTCACCCCCAAAATTGATAATTAGACCCGAAGTAATTCTATATTTTTCATCTCAGTACTCTTAAAGGGTTGTAAGCTTAACAGCCTTCAAGAAAATGGCTGCCCTCGGGCCGCGGGAGTGTGTGGACTAAACGTCTCTCACGTGACCCTGGCCGGGCGCAGTCCCGTCAACGCTGTCGCGCGCAGTCGCTAGAAGTCGGCGGCGGGAGGTGTTGGGGGAGGGGCGGAGCGCGCGCCTCGGTCCCCTCGGAAAGCTACTCCGCGCGTCTGGATAGGTCGCAAGCGCGGCTTCCCCGCCCTTCCCGCCGTTAGGAGCGCTCCGATTGGCTGATGTTGGCGCGAAGGTGCGCGAGTCGGCCCTCGCGCTGGGGGCGCAGGAAACAATAGAGGCCGCGCGCGCAGAGCGAGCGCCTGCTGCCTCCCCGCCCCTCCCGCAACGCTTCCAAACTCAGGTGATCCACCCGCCTCGGCCTCCTAAAGTGCTGGGATTACAGGCGTGAGCCACTGTGCCCAGCCTAGAAGCTTCTTTGTCATGACCAGGAGTTCCCACATTCAGTTGATCATCAGAATTGCTTGGGGAATTCAGGATAATTGGAATCATTTCTGTCAAGAGTTTTCAGTGGTAATTCAAACCATTTAAGAGCTTGTGAGCTGGGCATGGTGGCTCACACGTGTAATCCCAGCACTTTGGGAGGCTGAGGCAGGCAGATTGCTTTAGGCCAGGAGTTCAAGACTAGCCTGGGCAACATGGTGAAAATTCCGTCTCTACTAAAATTACACATATTATCCGGGCATGGTGGTGTGTACCTGTAGTCCCAGCTCCTCGGC